CGCCCCAGAGGACAGTCTCCCCCAGCCCCGCACCTCCCCCACCCATGGCCCTCAGCGAGGCGATCTGGCCCCAAGCTAGGGAAGCCTGGCAAAAACGCAGCCTGCGTCGGCTCTCGCTAGCGGTGATCGCAGGGGCTGGCCTGGCACTAGCCAGATCAGCGGGCGCACCCCTCCGGAGGGGCGCACGCCTTTCTGCCCAGTCGCCCTGGAAAACCCTGGCATTGGCGAGAGTAGAGCAGCGGAAGCAGCCTCCGGGGTGGGCGGGAGGACTCACCGAACATCTGAATGTGCCCTTTAGTGATGGGATTGAAGCTGCCGCAGGCCAACAGGATAACGTGAGTCTTTGTGGTCTCGGTCATGATGGGAGTAGGTCCCTCGCGCTGGTCCAGGGGTTGCCTCTTTTTGTGTCTCGTTATGTCTGCAGACGGAGAAAGGAAGGCGAGGCTCTGGCGGTGGATGCTGTGGACTCCAAGGAGCCGCTCTAGACGCAAACCGCGTCACTCCCCGCCTCCCTTTAACACTTGCAATTCCGGCGAGATCCGAGGCTGCTTTTGTATTGCTCAGTCCTACGTCCTCTCTAGCTTCGTTCGCGTCACTGGTCTGGTGACTGACCCTATCATTTCTATCCTTCTCATCCCACTTCATTGCATCACCCCATCTTAGTTTATGTACAAAACAAGAACTGGTACCAAACCAAAGCCTTGCCTGCTTACAGCGTGATGGGCTGGCTATGTCCTGCCACCTTCAGATTTTTTTCTTACCTCATGTATCTTTTCCTATCTCACTCTTTTTCTCCCCGTCTATATTCCCTAACGTAGCCAACTCCAAAAATGTTTGATTTTATGAACTTGCTTTTTCACGGCCTCAATATCTTAAGTGACAAATGACAGTTGTTCAATAGCCTTCTTTTCGGGCTTTTTTCATCCCTTATTTAGTGATCCTAAACTTTTGAAAGGAAGCCAAATTTTGACCTAGTGGCTACTAAGAAATAGTGAGGGGCTGGTCCTTTGTGTGGGTTGAAGCAACTATGGATTTGAGCAAATATGAATGAGGAAATTGCTAAAGCTGGGTATTAGGAAACTCATGTTCCTTTATCAGCTTATCCAAGTTGAGACAGTGATCATTCCTTCCTTATTTCTGGAGTGTCCACTCTCCAATAGATGCTATTTTGAACCGCTTTGAAGGAGCGAAGCACGTCTCTTCATTAAGTTTTCATTCTACTGGGGAGAGGTTGATAATAGCCACAAAAAATATTAGGTGCAATTGTGAAAACATAATAAATGAATTAACTAATTCTCTGACAGAAGAGATTGGACAACTAGGTGGTCTGAGAAAGCCTCTCTGGGGACATGAAATTTAAGGTGGGCCATTTAGACAGAGTCACTAGTATGGATATTTAGGGACATGATAGGGCTTCCTGTGCTCATGAACATGAAAAGAGGTCCATGGATCTAGAAGTCTTGGGCAAACTGGAAACTTTTCATCACATGGGGCTAGGATCATGGGCCTGAAGTTTTTCTGAGTCACTAATTTACCATGAATAACAAAAGGAAGACTCTGAAACCTTTAAGCAGGAGAGCACTGTGTGATTTACATTTTCATGAGCTCTCTTGGCTGTTCAGAGGAAAAGCAAATGGGAAGATGAGAATGTAAGAGGAGGCTGGCAGCCATAGACAGTTGGTACTGTCCTGGGACTTACAGGTAGCTTTTAGTCTTTACAGATAGGTGGGGTATAGAGAAGTTCAGAAACACACCTTAAATTTTGAGTTAAGCTAAGATTCAGAAAAATGAATAGGGGGAAAGGAAAGGTTTGAAGAATGGTCGAATATTTTGTTTGGATGCAATATAGAACCAATAATTAGCTTAGTGATTCAGAAGCAAAAGTATCACTTTCCCAGACTTTAAGTTTCTAACAGTTCATTGCAAGAGTCTGTTCTCTCCTTCCACATTGTGGGTTCCAGGGGTTGAACCCAGACTATGAGACTCCGTAGTGAGTAACTCTGCCTGCTCAGCTTTCTCACTAACCTTGCTCTTTAGTTCTTATCTAAGAGTTTATGGTAGGTATGCAAGGAGTATTTCTCTGCTGAATAGTAAACCAGTCTCTACTATGGAGAAATTTTCTAGTTTATTAAAATGTTTATTACTTTGTACGTGTGTACATATGTACACACACACACACACACACACACACACACACACACACACACATTACAACACTACTATAGAGCTCAGAGGATAACCTACAGAGTCAGTTCTCTCCTGCCTCCCTCTGTGTGGGTCCTTGGGATGGAACTCAGGTCATCAGCTTTGGTGACAAGTGCTTTTACCTGATAAGTCTTATTACTGGCCCCAAAGTTTCTAGTTTCAATATAAGAGTCTTAAGAACCAACATAAGTTTGTAACTTCTCTAGCATAAGATGCAAATTAGTGGGGCAGAAAGAGCAAGAGATTTTATACGCTGGGCAATTAACATAATTATAGCTAAGCAATAAATATTTATTGAATGCCTGCCATATAGCAAACACTGATTTAAGGGTTGTGAACAAAATGAAGTTCCTGGTTTAATTCAGCTCACACTCTAGGCAAAAACAACAGACCATTAAAATGAATAGATCCATTAGTAATCAGATCATATAGAAACGTAAAGCAAGGGGAAGAAACAGAAAAGGAAGGAGTTTTCTCTCACAGGACTCAGGGATAGTCAGGCTTTTTGATGAGCTAGTATTTGAGCAGGAACTTCAATCATACAAAGGGTCATGTTGCATAAACATTTGGGGGTGAACATACAAACAGAATGAGAGGTAGAAAGGATCTAAGGAGCGAGAGTATTTACAGGCACTCCACATACAACAGCAGTGTGGCTGAAAAAGAAAGAGTTGTGAATGATCAGCAAAGTAGGACAGGCTGTGGAGGACCTCACAGGCTTTCAGTGGGGCTCTGGTTGTTTCGGCGTGAGAGAAGGCAAGCCACAGCAGTGATTCTGAGTAGAGCAGTGACATGAGCTGGCTCACATTTGGAGAGATCTGTTTGGCAAGAGACATACATTTTGGAGTATTAGTATAGAGTATTTTTAAAGCCATGGGATTGAATGAGGTCACCTAGGGAGAAGCAGATATAGAGAAAAGACAGGAGGCCCTCAGATTGAGCCCAGAGCATAACAAATTAGTAACAGTAGCTAACTACATTGGTTGCACATTCAGAAACCCTGGGACTATGCACTGTTTGATTTACTTCACATTTTGTAAATCTCGAAGTGCATCCCATTTTAGGGAGGAGCATATGGAAACACAGAGAAATGAATGACCTGAGTTCAGACAGCTGGCATGGTCAAAGCCAGCTGCACATGCCTGCCACTTTGATCAAAGGCTCTGTTCTGCATTCAACACTACTCTCCTTTTGTTTTGCTTTTATGCCAGAGCTATCACAGGTGGACATTTATTTGGTTTAGCTTTATTTTTGTTTGTTTCTTCTTTTTTGGCTTTTCAAGACAGGATTTCTTTGTATTGTTTTGGAGCCTGTCCTGGAACTCGCTCTGTAACCAGGCTGGCCTCCAACTCACAGAGATCCTCCTGCCCCTGCCTCCTGAGTGCTGGGATTAAAGGTGTGCACCACCAACATCCGGTGTTTGTTTTTTCTTTATCCTTCTTTCTTTCTTCTTTTTTTGGGGGGTGGGGGATGGAGGGATAGGGTCTCATGTAATTCAAGCTTGTCTTGAACTGTCATGGAGCCGAGGATGATCTTGACCTCTGGAATCTTCTGCCTCCAGTTCCCAAGTGTTAGAATTATAGACATGCACTGCTATGTCCAGCTACCAGCCACATTTCTATTATTATTATTATTATTATTAGTGGGGTAGTGTGTGTGTGTGTGTGTGTGTGTGTGTGTGTGTGTGTGTGTGTGTGTGTGTAGGTGTGTCTATTCCATTCATATGGGGGTCAAAATTGGTTCTCTCCTTATACCTTTATGTGGGTTCAAGGATCAAATTCAAGTTTCCAACCTTGCATGGCAAGCACCTTTTTTGAGAGATCCGTCTCACTGGGTCCTTGACCACATTGAAAAATAAAGTTAACAGTATCTACCAAGACATGAAGATGTGCTGGTTATCGGTGATGTAGGTAGAACACTGGGTGCACTCTGACAGTTAAGGAGAATGCTTAGGAGAGGCAGGAGGAAAGCAGGTTTATAATACAGCTCAGTCAATACATATTCAGCCTTGTATGCTATGCCTTAAGTAACAGTTTAAATTCTAATCTTAGTATATGAAACTAACAGTGTCTCTTTTTAAAGTCCTTTACAAAATAATAGTTTACATTTATTAATTGGAGTGGGGCAAGACATGCACATAAAAATCAAAGGACAAACATGGGATTGTGTTCTCTCCTTCTCTACCATGTGAGTTCTGGGGATTGAACTTCAGATCATCAGGCTTGCAGTAAACAGCCTTGTTTACTGAGTCATCTCACTGGCTCTGTAGTAGTCTCGTTCACTCTTCGTATTCTTGCATTTATTCATATATGCCTAATCAGGGCTCTGGGACTACAATGTGAAAACACAGTGGCTGAGGATAAGACTGTAGCTCAGTTGGTAAGGTTCCCATGCTGCATGCACAAATTTCTGGGTTTGCTCCCCAGCGAGATGTAAGCTGAGTGTGATACACACAGTGAGTGCAGGTACACACAGCTTGCGATATATATGAAACTGTCTAGGGGGAAAAAAAAAGAAAGAGAAAAGAAAAATAGAGGGTAGGATGTGGCTAGCTACTTGCTAGTTAAATGGCTTTGGGCAAGTCCTTCATAGCTAACCCTTTATTTTCTCAAGTGGAATGCTGTCTATTTCTAGGCTGTTAAGATAGCGACTATATCATACAGCAAGATTGCCTAGATCCTGCCAGATAAGCACATTAAGATTCATTTCAAACTATTGTCCATAAGATGGATGCTACAGTGCATGGACGTGTTTTTCAACGTAGGTCAAAAAAGTGAATAAAGGGCAATTTGCTTTTTGTTTGTTGATTTGGTTTTGCTTAAGGCATATTGTCAGTTTTATGCCAAAATGTTTGGCATAAAAGATGCACCAATTGTTTTTAAGTGTCTTTTTCTTCTTCTACTGGTAGTTATGAAGGATGTTTATGAATGAAACAATCACAGAAAGGAGTGGCTTTGAGGGTGTGCCAATAATCTGTGTACCAACTACAAAGTAAGTAAGTAGCCAAGGACATTAACATTAATGAAGACTTCAACGCTAGTTAATAAGATACAGAAGTAGGGGAAAATAGAGAATTAGGGATACCACTTCTCATATATTATTTATAGTGCTCTATTTCTAGGGGTGCTTATTTTAACATAGGTAGTGTAATTTG